TTTGAATATTCGTTCTCTCACAAAACAATTCAAAAATCCAACGCAACGTTTCCATAATGTACGCAATGAAATTGAAAGAATTTATCCATAAAACGGTCATATTATATCATGGTTTCAGCTCCGGGTATTGTCCTTCAGGTATCAGGCATAACACCTAGTCATTGATCGATCCGTGATCATTTCTGATCATTGTTATGCCGCTAGTCAATTATTGGCAGTAGTTATTAACAAGTTGATCAGCTACAGTATCATTTTGAATAGAAATTTCAACACTTTTCATCAGTTTTACCTTTATATATGAATGCTTTCAAATACGTTATTGAATTTTTGAAAGTGAATGAATGTTCNATTTGTGTAGACTCGCTGAAATCTGCAAAAGCTGCAGCGAAGGGAGGTTTGTGCTTATGGGAAAGGAGAGAGTTTTATTTTAGTGCTATTGTATAGTATTTACTGAAATTATTATGAACATTTAACATTCAGAATGAGGAAATAATAATTCAAAATCGAATTTCAGGTGCTAATCGAATTGAATTATGCAGTGCACTGAAACTTGGTGGATTGACACCTACAACAGGTTAATTTATATCTCTTACGTATACTAGCTTTACTTTTATCACTACTATTACCTAGTATGATAAATCGTTATTGTGTATTGTTATTGTCAAAGATTGCTATCATTATTTGTTATCAGAATACCTTATTGTTAAAATATTTACTTCATTGATTGTAACGTAATTATAGGTCTATTGAAAACGATCAAACGAGACCCTGAGATCAAAATCGATATATATTGCATGATCAGACCTCGGGGTGGGGATTTTATATATGATGAATATGAAATGGAGACGATTTTAGAAGATATTAAAGTTTTGAACGAGTTTGGTGCCGATGGCTTTGTTTTTGGTGCGCTGACAAAGTAATTCATTGATTGCTTTCTTCTTTCTGGAATCTCTCCATGACCTTTCCGGAATTTAGTTCGAAGTTATGCCAGAATCGTGGATTCTCCCATTGATCTCTTTCAATGAGTGATAGAATTTGTGGATTTGCATGGATTTTAATGAAAAACCAATACAGCGATTGCAAACTGGATCAAGAGAAATGTAAACGAATAGTGGAAGCGTGTCATCCGAAAGCAGTTACTTTACATCGCGCA